TCAATCCCCAATAGGGGGCGTGCAGGAGGCAGCCAATCAGTGATTCTCTCTCATCACTGGTGTTTCTCTCTCTCTCTCCTCCCTCTCCCTTCCTCTCTGAAACCAATAAAAATGTATTTAAAAAATAAAATAAAATAATAAGATCATTTAAAAAGAGTGACAGAGGGCCTCCTTGTTTGACCCTCTTGAATGTGATGGAACAGACTCCCACTGAGTCCCCGGGGGGTGCCAGGCCCTGGCGGGGGCTGTGGGTTGCACCATGATGACAGGGTGCCGTCTCTCCCCACCAAGGAGCCCCTGGCCACAGGCAACCCGGCCCCAGGCGGGGCGGCGGGTGAGAGACCACAGGACACCCAGAGTTTCTCCCTGCCACCCAGCCGCCCAGGCAGCCTAGGCTGTGAGCCTCGACTGGTGAGGGGTGAGGGTCCCAGACCAGCCCCCGTGGGCCTGCTGACCGCAGGGCTGTCTCAGCCGAAATTCCTCGGCCACACCGCTCCCTGCGGCAGCACCTCGGGGACAGGGCAGCGGGAGGTGGGGAGGAGCCTGCGTTGCTAGAGACCTCCTGTGGGAAGGACCACGCACAATCGTCCCTTTCTCCTCCCGCTTAAGTGCTCGCCTGTAACCAGCAGTAGTCGCTGGGAGTCCAACAAGCAGAGGGCCCGAGGGGGGTGGCCAGGCTCTCTGGTTTCAAGGCTTCCACCACCACGTGGCAGAGCCCCCCACCCTCCCCTGCCCACCACCCCCCAGCTCCCTCCTATGAGTGGGTCTCCGCAGCCTGACTCCCCACCACCTCCCCCAGAGCCCACCTCATGTCCTCGCCACCCCAGGAAGAGAGAAGGCCCCCCTGGGGTGCAGCCACCCCTGGTGGCCCCCGAGACTCCTCCGGAGGGGGGCTCTTTCTAGAGGGGAGTCGGGGAGCGCTGTACGGAGCTGGGGAGCCACATGGCACCTCCCAGACCACACTCCCAGCGCCGGAGCTGCCTGGGTGGGCCTGGGGCAGTGCAGTGGGCGGGGTGACCTGGAGGCAGGGGTGGAGATCTGCTCTCCGGGCGGCTGGAGGGCAGCAGAGTGGGAATCCCAACCCTGGGTCCGGAGCCCCGTCTCAGGCCCCCTTCACACGAAGAGAGCTCAGAGGTACTTGGTGCAGGACAGACTGGGTTCAGAGGAGGAGGGACATCTCCAAGGCATGTCTCTTCCGTGCTCAGTGGTAGGACCCATGCACAAAGTGGTGAGGGGCGGGTCTGTGTCCCAGTGGAGGGCACCAGGTTTGGACAGCAGGTATGAGGCACAGCCAGGTCTAGAAACCCAGGCCTGGTCTCCCACCCTGGATGCCATTTTGTCCCGGTCAAGACGATGAGAGAGGCAGGCTGGTGGCAAACACCGGACACCTTACCCCTCAGGAGGACCTGATTCATCCCAGCTCACTCCGTTTCTCACTGGTGGGCCTTTGGCCCCTGGTTGTGACCTCAGGCATCTCCCAGGACTGGCGGGTCAGTGGCTGAGTGAGGTCATCTAGGCCCCCAACTCTGGGACAGACAGCATGGAGGAGGGGTGCCCGTGTTGGACTAGGAAGTGTTTTTCCTTCCTAAATAGCCTCAAATCCAGTTTTTTTTTAAAGTAGCAATGCTTTGCTCCGACCGGTGTGCTCAGTGGTCAGAGCATCCGCTGGTGCACGAAGGGTGGCGGGTTCAATTCCTGGTCAAGGGCACATACCTGGGTTTTCATTTGATCCGCATCCCCCAGTTGAGGCACCTGCAGGAGGCAACTGGTGGATGTGTCTCTCACATAAATCAATCTCTCTCTCTCTCTCTCTCTCTCTCTCTCTCTCTCTCTCTCTCTCTCCCTCTCCCTCTCTCTCTCTCTCCCTCTCCCTCTCCCTCTCCCTCTCTCTCTCCCTTCCTCCCACTCTCTCTCCCTTCCTCCCACTCTCTCTGAAAAAATATCCTCAGGTGAGGATTAAAAAAGAGGAGATGCTTCAGGTGCTTTGTGGGAGGGGGTGTGGGCACAGATGGAACAGGATGGACCATGAGCTGGTCGTAGTTACAGTGGGGCATGAGGAACACCGTTATTAACACTATTCTGAGCACCTGTGTATGTTTTAAATTCTCTATAATAAAAAGGATTTATTATCAATATGCTATCAAGGAACATATCGAGTCCTCAAGCCACAGGAGCCCCACAGGCAGCCCATTAGCACAGTCCTGCCATCCCTCCCAGCCCCGGCGCTCTCTCCTTCCCGCCTGCTCTCTGCGAGGCTGGGCCAGGGCAGGACCGGGAGGGGAAGAGGCACGGAGGCCGGGGAAGGGCTTGGAGCCGGCCATCGGCCATGCTGATGAGCGTGGACTCTGGGCACTGGAGGTGCCCATGGAAATGGACCCAGTCACCCCCCCCCCCCCCCCCGCCCCTGTCTAACCCCTCCCACCCCGCTCCTTACCCCTCCCCCTGCACATCGCTGTCTCTTGCTCACCTTTCTCACCACCCACCGCACTAAAGGGAAACGAGCAAACCGAGGCTTGATGTCCCCAGGCAGCAGGCGGGAGCCCGTTTCTTTAGGACGAAAAATAAAATGCACGAGTGGGATTGGCACACTCAGGGCACGTGTGACTCCAAGAGGGTGGCGCAGACCTCCCAGCGGGTGAGGAAAGCTCACACTTTGGGGGCACAGGCAAGGTGGGGAGAGAAGGTCTGCATTTTATTTTCCCTTCTCTGTTCCGTAGGCTGCCTACCATTCGCCACACGCACCTCCTAACCCTAATACTGTCCCAGTCTATAAAGCCCTCTCACACTTACAACCTGTGCGGTAGGTATTATCCCCATTCCATAGGTGAGGAAACTGAGGCTCCACAGAGTAAGCTACTTGCCCACGATCAGCTCGCTTGTCAATGGCAGCGTCCGGGGCTGCTGACCTGGGGTGCAAGGTCTGTACCCCAGATTGGGAGAGGTGGTGGCTTACTCTCCTGGGCACCAGGCCCTTCGGCCCTCTCTGGGTCTGCGGGTAGAAAAGGTACCGTTGGCGCCGAAACCGGTTTGGCTCAGTGGATAGAGCGTCAGCCTGCAGACTGAAAGGTCCCAGGTTCGATTCTGGTCAGGGGCATGTGCCTTGGTTGCGGGCACATCCCTGGTAGGGGGTGTGCAGGAAGCAGCTGGTCGATGTTTCTGTCTCATTGACGTTTCTAGCTCTCTATCTCTCTCCCGTCCTCTCTGTGGAAAATCAATAAAATATATTTAAAAAAAAAAAAAGAAGAAAGAAGAAGAAAGAAAGAAAAGGTACCGTTGGCTGAAACTGGTTTGGCTCAGTGGATGGAGCATCGGCCTTCGGACTGAAGGGTCCCAGGTTCGATTCCGGTCAAGGGCATGTACCTTGGTTGTGGGCACATCCCCAGTGGGGGGTGTGCAGGAGGCCGCTGATCGGTGTTTCTGTCTCATTGACGTTTCTAGCTCTCTATCCCTCTCCCTTCCTCTCTGTAAAAAACTCAATAAAATATATTAAAAAGAAAGAAAGAAAGAAAAGAAAAGGTACCATTGAAGTTCCTCCGGAGCCGGCTGGGGTGCAGGAGGGTTCGATGGGCTGCTCCGTGTGTGTCACCACGGTTTCCCGAGGAAAACTGTCCGAGGAACAGTCTGACGGGAAGGGCTCTTCTGGGATGACAGGGGCCGGGCCTTTGGACTCCTCCATGTGGCCGTGTGAGGGCCACAGAGCCCCCGTGTCTCCTGGGACCCAGACGGGGAGCTGCAGGAAGACACGGGCACGGCCCCCCTGGGCGAGGGCCAGTGGCTCCAGGTCTGATGTCAACGCTGAATTCTGTCACAGTTTGCTGTGTGACTCCAGGCCAGACTTCTCCCTCTCTGGTCCTCTGGCCACAAAACCAAGGCTGCCTCCTGCGCCCGCTCAGGGCACAGCGGGCTCCAGCCTCCTCAGCAACCTCCTGCAGAAGATGAGGAGGAAAGGCTTTTAAGAGAAACTGCTCCATTCCCCTCCCTGGTTTGGAAATTTTACCCCGGGGAGAAGCCCGTGTGTGTGTGTGTGTGTGTGTGTGTGTGTGTGTGATTGTGTGTGTCTGTGTGTGTGATTGTGTGTGAGTGTGGGATTGTGTGGGATTGTGTGTGGGATTTTGTGTGTGATTGTGTGTGTGTGACTGTGTGTGTGATTGTGTGTGTGTCTGTGTGTGTGTGTGTGATTGTGTGTGATTGTGTGTGTGGGGGGGGGATTGTGTGGGATTGTGTGTGTGTGTGATTGTGTGAGATTTTGTGTGTGATTGTGTGTGTGAGTGTGTGTGATTGTGTGTGACTGTGTGTGTGTGTGATTGTGTGTGTGTGTCTCTGTGTGTGTGTGATTGTGTGTGATTGTGTGTGTGGGGGGGATTGTGTGGAATTGTATGTGGAATTGTGTGGGATTGTGTGTGTGATTGTGTGAGATTTTGTGTGTGATTGTGTGAGTGTGTGTGTGATTGTGTGTGTGACTGTGTGTGTGTGTGTGTCTGTGTGTGTGTGATTGTGTGTGATTGTGTGGGGGGATTGTGTGGAATTGTATGTGTGATTGTGTGTGATTGTGTGTGTGTGTGTGTGATTGTGTGAGATTTTGTGTGTGATTGTGTATGTGTGACTGTGTGTGTGTGTGTGTGTGTGTGTGTGTATGTAGAATGAAATTGTGAGGAGGTGGGGTGAAACAGGCCGGTGTAGGCCCAGCCACCCAGCCCTGGCCCAGGCAGGGTTCGCTTTCTGTGCCTTTTCCCTGTTGTTTTGGCTTGTTTTCCAAACAAGTGTCAAGCGATCTCCCCCCAGAAGCCGCGGCGGCAGAAGGAAATGTTATTAGAAATGAGTTTGTTAGTGGGCATGATGTGCGAATGAAGTCTTCGGGAGCTCTGGCTGCCAAATAAAGACTTTATTGTTGTCATTCCTCCTTTCCCAAGCTCCCTCCCTCCCTCTCTACCCTCCTCCCTCCCTCCCTTCCTCCCTCCAATCGGCCCGTCCCTCCCCCTAACCTAGCCTCCCCACCCCAGTAGGATCTGGTAGAAGAAAAGTCAGGCAAACACAAGCACGCTCACACACGGGAGATCAGGACTTCCCGCGGCTCTCTGCTGCCACAGCTCCACCAGGGCGGGAGGAAGCGGAGGGAGCCTGAGCCGAGCCGGGGACTGGCCGGAGCTGGGAGCGGAGGCAGGTGTGTGCAGGTAAGGCCCGTGGGAAGGCGGGGAGGAAGCCCCCTTCCTCCTGCAAGTGTCCCCCTGCCCTGTGCAGCTTGGTCACTGATCTCAGCTTCCTTTCAAATGAGCCCAAGTCAGCCTTCCTTGTTGCTTCTTCCTCTCTTCACCATCCTCTCCTGTGTATTTGCTGGCTGCAGACGTTGAACTTTCTCCGTGCAGATGTTTGATGTGAGTTATGTCATACTTAGTATTTTTACACATCACGTATTTCCATAGAAACCAGAATCAAGAACACATGTCTCTGCACCTTTCACTTACTGTCACGCACTGTCACAGGCACGCACACAAGTTGCACAGGATCTGTACTTTCATTACATACATACACACACACACACTTTCTGACTGCATGTGACATGCAGAGCTAGACACACACACACACTGCATCTGTCTCACCCTCTCATGCGCCTCTCGGGCCATAAGAGCAAAGGGACAGCGTGTCTTCCCTCTGCGGTGGCAGAGCCAGAGAAAATCATGTGCTGCCGAAGGCAGAGCGGGGAGGACATGGACAGAGCGGGCGCTGGGCGGGTTTCTCCGTTCTGTAGACCTCCTAATTGGTTGGGAGGGGGAAAACTGAGGCTTTCCAACCTGCGCTGGACCTTCCCAGCCGCTCTGCATGTCTGTCCCGCTGGTCCAAACCACCGGCTTTTGGAAAGAAAGAGAAGGAAGGATCCAACTTCCAAGCGTTGGAGGTCCCGATCCCAAGCACAGGAGGCAGTTCATTTTGTGGCAGGCAGCCCGAAAAAACGCCTCTTTAAAGCCGTTTCATAATGATCCCAGGAGTCTTGGCAGCAGAGGAAAAAAGATAGCTCTGTAGTTTCTTAGTGAGTCAGGGAGGGGAAGACTGGAGGGGTAGCTGAATGGGGCTTGTTTCCAGATAGGTGACCCCTGTCCACTCAACAAGGAGAGTGTTGTCCCAGGCGGGGGGGCGGGGGGCGGGGGTAAGGGAGGAAGGAAAGAGGGCTAGATCAGAGCCTCCAGATGTGGCCTCAGATCTTCACAGTCATCTGGGGCAGGGGAGGGGGGATTGAGAGGGGACTTACTGGAAACACAGAAGTCTGCACCCCTTGCTCCAGACCTGCTGAATCTGTCATTGTTTTAGTACAGACGTCGGCCAGGGCTGAAGACCCTGGATCAGGGGCCTGAGGGAGACATGTGCTGGGACCGAGCAGCCCCCGGCCTTGCTAGCTGGGCAGAGGGCTTCGTGGCTTCCTGGAGAAGGACTGTCTGATGGAGGAAAACCAGAGCGTCCCACATGGGCCACCTCCTCAGGGAGTGGGAGTTGGTGCTGAGGGGCTAGGAAAGATCTTCTGTGAGCTCTCCCCTCCATCCTCCTTGCAAGCACCGGCTGCCACATCATGAGGAGCATCCTGGAGGGGAAGATTCCTCCCACCTGCTCCTCTGCCTGACCCGAGTCTGAGGCCCTGCGCTGGGCTCCTTCCCATCCCAGCCAGTCCCCTCTCCTCCGGCCCAGTCACTGTCTGTTCTGATAGCCTCTCGGGAAGACGGGCTGGACAAGCTCTGCCCGGTGGGCAGCCCCATTGGCTGGGCATGTGAGGGGCGATTCAAGGCTGGAAGGGGCAAAGAAAGCCAGGTGTGGGAGGTTGGGATGGGAACCATGCATCACAGTGGGAAGCCCGCTTTGTGCCTCCATTTATAAGTTACAGGACTTACAAAATATAAGGCACAGGAAGTAGCCTTAGTTATTAGCTTGCCAAGTGAGCCCATTGTTTTCAACAACTGCTTAACGTTCACTCACGGAGCACACACTCATTTAACCCTCAAATCACCGCACAAAGGTCTTGATGTGCCCATTTTACAGATGAGTGAGCTGAGCTGAGCCAAGGTAAGAGATTTGCCCAAGAGCACCCACTGACGAAGCTGAAGGGTATCAGGGTTAGGTGCCCAATCCGCAAGCTCCCAGGGCCGCAGACAGGTTCTTCCCGGGATGGAGGCAGGAAGCAGGAGATGGTGAGGCCAGGAGCAGAGCCAGCTCAGTGCTGCGCCTTCCCCACTCCCTCTACCCCTCCCCACCCTCCTCACCCCCACCCCTCTTCATGCCTCCCCACCATCTCTACCTCTCCCACCCCTCCTTACCCACCCTACCCTTCTCACCCCTCCTCATGCTTTCCACACTCTCCCTACTTCTCCTCAACCCCCACCCCTCCTCACCCTTCCCACCACTCCCCACTGTTCCCCACCCTCCTCACCCCCCACCCCTCTACACCTTCTCCACCCTCCACCCCCCACCCCTCCTCACCTTCCCCACCCTCCCCATCCCTCCTCACCCCCCATTCCTCCTCACCTTCCCCACCCTCCCCATCCCTCCTCACCCCACCCCTCCTCACCTTCCCCACCCTCCCCACCCTTCTCACCCCCACCCCTCCTCACTTTCCCTACCCTCCCCATCCATCTTCACCCCCACCCCTCCTCAACCCTCTTCATGCCTTCCCTACTCTCTCCACCCCTCCTTAACCCTCCCCATCCTCTCCACCCCTCCTCACCCTTCCCATCACTCCCCACTACTCCTCATCCTCCTCACCCCTCCTCATGCCTTCCCCACTCTCCCTACCCCTCCCCACCACTCCCCACCCTCCTCACCCCTCCAGTGGAAACTTGCTCCTCGGCAGGGTGGCCTGGAGCCAGATAATCTTCCCTCTGTTTACACTTTGCCTGGTGGCAGACGCTGGGGTGGCAGATGGTCTCTGCACCCTGGTGCTATATTGATTCTTCGCACTTTCTGATCTGCGCCACATTTTAAAGTGACTTATGGTTCTTGCTCCGGCAACAACTGGGTGAGGAATGCAGGCATGGGGACAATTTTGCTAACCCCCTTTCACAGGAAAAAAAAACAAACAACACTGAGGCTGAGAGCAGGTTTGGGGGACCAGGTAGAGGTGGGCAGGCGGAGAGCAGGGCCTGCTCCCGGGGAGAGTCTGCACCACGAAGCTCCCCACCATGGCCCCAGTCAGCCCCAGACCTACTGCATCCAGGAAAGCGGCGGCCATGCAGTGTTCCCATGGAACCCCTAGGATCCCCGTGGAATGCACCCGGTCCCCATATCGGCCCGCCCGTCCCCTCAGGGCCTCAGAGCCCTCCGCACAGGCCTTGAGAGGCTCTCAGGCGACCTAGGCGGCCTGCCTGGCTCCTGCTCACCGGGCAGGACCCCTGACCCTCCTGGCGTCCCCCTCCCTCTGGGCGGCAGGGTGGCTCTCAGAAGCTGGCGTGTGGATCAGAAAGGCGGGAAGAGAGGATGAGGGTCCATGGGTGTGGCTCCGGGGCAGGGGGCAGCCCCATTTCCCACGGCAGGGTGGTGGCTTGGAGGTTTAGGGGTGACCCACTAGACAGGGAATCTGACGGGAAAGGAAGAAGGATGCCAGTAAGCCGTGTGGAGTATTCCTTTAACCGAGGAGACACACCCAGCTCGCTCCCAGCCAACCCCAATTCCCGACTCGCCATACAGAACCAATTACCCTTCAACTTTCTCCCAGTGACTTGGAAATCCCGTGTGGACCTCAGCCCGGCCCGGCTGAGTACAGGCCCAGGCCTGGGTATCTGAACGCTACATGAACGGGTTCCTGAGCGAGACAGAGAGGAGGCGAGCTCGCTTTACACTCAGCCTCCGGAGCATCTGCTGTCTCACACACAAACCGGTGGCCGAGCGAAGCCCCTGCCGTCCACAGAGAGCTCAGGCGCTGTGACAGGCCTTCCCTGCGTGACCTCATCCAGTCCTCACACGGAGGGAGCCTGAGGCCTGGGGCGGAGGGCAGGGCGGGAGGCAAGCCCAGATCTCCAGTCCTGGAACTGACAGCCACACTCCAAGCCCTCTTAGGAAATGTTCTTAAAGGGAGAGACTGGATTTGGGGCTGGGCAGAGCGATGGCAGTGCCCCACCCCCCTCCCCCAGGGCCCCCTGGGCAGCGGTGTCTGGTCCCCGGCACTCAGCAACTGAGCAGCGAGCTCAGCAGAAGGCTGGGAGGTGGGAGCTGTGCTTGCAAAGCAGGAGACATTTAAATACCATGCACACTTGGGACCCACCCTAAGAGAGTTATGATTGGGCAGAAGCTTCTGGAAGGCAGCAGCGTAAGAAAGCATGACCTTTGGCTTTGGCAGGGGAACTGGGAGGCCCCGAGGCGTTCCGGATTTAGGACATCACAGCGCACGGAGCTGCCCGTCAGGGCCAGGCCCGGTGGGAAGAGGCGTTGTCGGTGAGAAAAGCCTTAGATATGAACGCTATTTCCCTCAGAAAGAGGTGTGGGCGGCTCACATGCCCGCGTGGGGCGAGCACACAGGGCGGGTTTGCACTGGCTAAGGGACAGGGGTTAACAGGCCCAGTGACTCCAGGGACCAGACCCGCCAAGCTTTTCCCAAAGAACCCCCTCTGCTGTGGGAGGGGCCGGGCCAGCCCCCCACCCCCACCCCCAGGTCTGAATGTAAAGGATCAGGGCTGGGGGCAGAGCCTAGCTTCCTGAAGGGGGTGGGAGGGCGTGGGCAGGAGGAAGGCCTGTGCCCGTCTCCGAGGGAAGGAGTGAGGAGCTGGTGTGCAGGGAGAGCTGTGACTCCCCGTGGCCCTGTCGCTCCTGACCATGAGGCCTGGAGCCACTGAGAAACGCCCCTCGCAAGGCCTGGCCACCCTCCGCTGGAAGCTCTGGGACTCGAGGCCCAGGGCCCGGCAGGGACTGGGGGGCCTCTTTGGGGCAGGGCTCCTCACATCATGAGAGATTGCTTGTTTATTTCAGGCTTCTGGGTGATAAGAAAATAAATGCCCAAACAACAATTTCAGGGTCACAAAAAGTGGGGCTTTTAAAAAGGTTTGCTTTTAGTATGCTAATGCTTTAGCTGCCTCCTTAAAACTGATATGCAAAATGATGGTGTTCTTGTCAGGAAAATTACAGGACTTACAAAGTATTAATTCATGGTTCACCAAGCGGTGTTGGTCCGGCCACAGGACTCCAAGTGTAGTTAGACGATGACCGTCCTCTCTTTTCCGTTCTCTCGGTGTGTCCGGGGACTGTTGTAGGCCCGGCTGTAGATAAAGCGAGAATCTACAGCAGCTCCGCTGTGACCGAGGCCCAGGAAAGGGGGGAGCTGGCCTGGCAGGGACCACTTTAGAGGGAGGTGGAGAGGCAACAGAGGCTGCAGGCAGTCTCTTCCCAGCTTCCTCCCAGTGTGTCTGCCTGCCTTCCCTCCCTCCCTCCTTTCTTCCCTCCTTTCTTCCTGTGTTCTGTGTACTATGTATAAGGGCTTACAGGCACACAGAGCACATAGAAACATGAGTTTGCTTCTGTGTATGGTACAGAAGTATGTATGTGTGCAGAGATGTATATGTGTGTGCAGAGAAGTGTGTGTGTGTGTGTGCAGAGATGTGTGTGTGCAAAGTGTGTGTGTGTGCGCAGAGAACTGTATGTGTATGTGTGTGCAGAGAAGAATGTATGTGTGTGCAGAGAACTGTATGTGTGTGTGCGCAGAGAAATATGTATGTGTGTGCAGAGAAGTGTGTATGTATGTGCAGATAATATGTATGTGTATGCAGAGAAGTGTGTGTGTGCAGAGAAGTGTCTGTGCATGTGCAAGAAGTGTGTGTGTGTGCATGTGCAGAGAAGTGTGTATGTGTGTGTGCAGAGAAGTGTGTATGAGTGTGTGCAGAGAAGTGTGTGTATATGTGTGTGCACATGCATGCAGCTGGAAGTCAGGATGTGTATGTGAAAAATGTGGGAGACTCCCTCCAGTCCTCCAGGCTTGAGCTCCGCCTTCTCTGCTGTTTCTTTTTACATTCAGCTCCTTCTGAGCACCTGGGGGGACTCAGCCGCTGGTGAGGGGCTCCCATTGTCTTCCTCTGAGCAAGGCCAGCGGAGGCAGTCACCCGCAGGGAGGAGTCTAAGCAGATGTGGGCCCAAAGGAAAGAGAGCCGGTGGCCTGAACAAAGGCCGGGGTCACAGGGTCTGGGCACAGGGGGGCACACTCCAGCCAATGTGTCTCAGAGAAACCCAGGAAGCCTGCATCCCCAGGTGTCCCAGGCCCCTGAAGGGGGCGGGGCAGACACCACAATTGTGAAGAAGCAGCCAGAGGGGCCGGGAGAAGCAATGTGGGGATGAGGACCTGGAGACCAGAGGAGTGTCATAGGATGAGGGCTCTGGGGAGGGGATGGTATATGAACCCCCTTCCCTGCCCCTTCCCAGCCAGGCCAGGGGAGAGGCCTCTGGGAGCTGTCACCTGGGTCTATTTTCCCAGCTTAATTCATCTAGAACCACAGGGCCCTACTGGGGACAATGGGAAGGGCAACCCCAAAGTATCCTCCAGCAACCTGCTCCGCTGTCACTGGGCTGGCAGGAAGCTCTTCTTGATCCCTCCCGTGACCAGCTCCAGCGGACAGAGGAACAGAGTGCCTCCCAGCGGTGTGGCTCCGTGGGCTGAGCACCAGCCCATGCACAGGAGGTTGTGGGTTTGATTCTGGTCAGAGCACATGGCAGGGTTGTGGCCATGGTCCTCAGTGAGGGCTGTGCAGGAGGCAGCCGATTGATGTTTCTCTCTCATTGATGTTTTTATCTCTCTTCCTCTCCCTCTCTCCGAAATCAATGAAAACATATTTTTTTAAAAAGGAGCAGCAATAACTGGCCACAAGAAATGAAAGTCATTTCCCCACAGCTTTCTATCTCTTCCTTGTTTTCTTTCCAGAAAATTCCCCACATCTGAGGGGAATTCTTGGTGTGTATCCTGCTGGCAGGGGCCAGTGTTCGCTGAGCCAGTGCAGTGGGTGAGGGACAAGCAGGGGGGACACACATGTGTCTGAAGCACTTTCCTTTCCTCCCAAGATCTCCACAGGCCCCACCCTGGGAGGCAGGAGACCTGGCCCTGCTATTAAATAACTTCCTGGCCTGGGCAGCCACTTCCTCCCTCCAGTACTCGATGTTTATAAACAGTACAGTCTGTACGTCATTGGTGGATTTCAAACCAGTTTTTAGAAATGCAACTTCGTTTTTCAAATGAGTGCTGTGGTTAAACATAGATATAGACATAGACATAGACGATATAGATGATATAGATATGGATATGGATATGGATATGGATATAGATATAGATATAGATATAGATGATACAGATTATATAGATGATATAGATGATATAGATATGGATATGGATATGAATATAGATATAGATGATATATAGATATAGATGATATATAGATATAGAATAGATGATACAGACATAGACAGATATAGATATAGACATAGATAGATGTAGACATAGACATAGACAGATAAAGATATAGATATAGATGATATAGATATAGATATCAGATTAAAATAACACAGAGCTGCTCTGGTTGGCATAGGAATGAGTTGGGGTGCCCCAGGGCCAGCTCCTTGATCTCCGTCCCTCCCTCCCTCCATAGAAATGGGGGCACCATTTGGAAACCATTGAGCTGTGTGATCTCTATAGACACATCTGGATTATAACCCCCAGGACTCCATGGCTCATATACCCTAACCCATTACGAGGACAGGACTGATTTTCTCGTGCTGCAGAGGGGGAGACTGAGGGCTGAACGGCAAGCACGAGACTCCTGATGCCCAGCCTGGTGTGCTTTCTGCAGGAGGGCTGGCTCTCCAGAGCAGGCTGAGCCCACTGGGTAGCGAGGCCTCTGGCAGGGAACCCAGACCCTCAGCCCTTGTTACCTTCTCACCTGCTAGATACAGGTGAACAGGGAAATGCTTCCACAGGCCCCTCCACAGCCCCCCGGGAGCCCGCCCCGGCCGCCTGACCTGCAAAGAAGAGCCTGGCCTCTAATTGCTGAGGCCCAACTTGCTAATGCCTCCCGCATCTCCTCCCTGCAGGCACATCACCCGGATCATGAGGCCATCTCTCTCCTTGCTCCTCCCACTTCTCCTCATCTTGGCCTCAGTGACCAAAGGTCAGCCCACAAGAAAACCAAAACCCAGGCCCAGGGGCAGGCCCAGGGCCCGGCCCACACCCAGCTTTCCTCAGCCCCATGAGCCATCGGAGCCTACAGACCTGCCTCCTCCCCTCCCGCCGGGCCCTCCGTCTGCCTTTCATGACTGCCCCCGGGAGTGCTACTGCCCCCACGACTTCCCATCGGCCCTCTACTGCGACAGCCGCAACCTCAGGAAGGTGCCCGTCATCCCGCCGCGCATCCATTACCTCTATCTCCAGAACAACTTCATAACCGAGCTGCCGGTGGAGTCCTTCAAGAACGCCTCGGACCTGCGGTGGGTCAACCTGGACAACAACCGCATCCGCAAGGTGGACCAGAAGGTGCTGGAGAAGCTCCCCAGCCTGGCGTACCTCTACATGGAGAAGAACCAGCTGGAGGAGGTGCCCTCCGCCCTGCCCCGGAACCTGGAGCAGCTGCGGCTGAGCCAGAACCAGATCTCCAGGATCCCGCCGGGCGCCTTCAGCAAGCTGGAGAACCTGGTGCTCCTGGACCTTCAGCACAACAAGCTCAACGACCACGTCCTCAAGCCCGACACCTTCCAGGGCCTCAAGAGCCTCATGCAGCTCAACCTGGCCCACAACATCCTGAGGAAGATGCCCCCCAAGGTGCCCAAAGCCCTCCACCAGCTCTACCTGGACAGCAACCAGATCACCACCATCCCCAACGGCTACTTCAAGGCCTTCCCCAACCTCGCCTTCATCCGCCTGAACTACAACAAGCTGTCCGACCGGGGGCTCCCCAAGAACTCCTTCAACATCTCCAACCTGCTGGTGCTGCACCTGTCCCACAACAAGATCAGCAACGTGCCCGCCATCAACAACAAGCTGGAGCACCTGTACCTCAACAACAACAACATCGAGAGTGAGTGGGGGGGCGGGGCCAGGCCCGGGGCGGGAGGCTGGGGGCTCACCACATCAGCCTTCTCCCAGGAGCCTCGGGGTGGGGGCGTGCAAGAGACACCCTGCTTGACACTGGACTTCAAACCATGGCCATCCCGCTCGCTGTCTGTATGGCCTTGGACAGATAGCTGACCTCCCTGGGAAGGTCCCTCGTCTGTCAAAGGGAGAATGATAGTCATACCTCTCACCAACTTGATATGAGGATATAACCGTTTAACGTGGATGGATCCCATGCCCCGAAGGCCACAGCTGGAGGGCCCTTGCTTCTCTTTTTCCATCTCTTCTCAGCCGCCCCAATTCCAGACCTGTCGGTAGGGTGGACACGGAATACAGTCCCGGACATCCTCCTAAAAGCAGAATGGTGACATTGACATGCCCACTCTGAAATAAATAAATAAATAAATAAATACCCACTCTGAAATGCCCGAGCCTGTCCGTCGAGGACACCGGCAAGCTGTGAGATGGCATCCCCCCAAGTCTGCACCTAGGTTCTGAAGTTTGGAAAAGGTACACACGGACAGGCAGCTGGACAGGGTGGGCAAACATAGGTGAATAATAATGATCAACATTACAATAATTAATAAATAATATTACAGAATAAACTCTGTTTCAACTGTAAACCTACTTTTGCCCACCCCTGTATATGCCGCCTACCTGTGTGTACCTTGCCTGCTCACCTCCCCTTCTCTCTCCATAGAGATCAGCGGGACCCAGATTTGCCCTCACAACCTGGCGAAAATGCAGCAGACAGGAAAACACATTGCAGGGGGGAGGGAGGGGGTGGCTTCTGGGTCTATCTGGGGAGCTGGAATAGTTAGTTGTGTAAGACAATATGCTTAAGGCAGGACTCCCCGAAGCTGCATATAGAGGGTCCTGGGCTGTGAGGTATCCATCGCAGCCCAAAAGAACAGACTAGAGGTTGCAATTTTGCTTCCATCAAAAAATGTCAGCTCTGAGCTGAGCATCTGCAGAAAAGCTTAAAATCAAAAGTGCGAGTATGACCTGGGCACTGAGGAACATCAGGGGTGCAGCCGCTGCAGGGATGCGGGGGACAGAGGGAAAGGGGAGCTCCCCTAAAAGAACCATAGGAACCCCCAGTTGCCACGCCGAAGCGGGTGAGGGAGAGTATTGAGTTTCTACAACCTTGAAGCGAGTGGTGGGGAGAACAGGCTTGCTCTCTTGTCTGGGATAATTGCAGAGTGGGAGGGGCTTTTAACATCTGGCAAGAAACAGATTCAGGGAGTAAACTGAGGCAAGTCATTGCTCCCCGAGATGCTGTATAGGCCAAACGTATAGCCAGAAGGCACACCTCACACACAACTGGCAGGTCGGTCCCGGGTGGAAGAGCAGGCTGCTGGGGACAGCCAGCCCCCTGAGGGTGAAGTCAGAAAAATCAACCCCCTCTCCCAGTGACCCTGGTCCGGGAGCTGAGCATCAGCGTGGTCCCATGACAGGCCTATATGACAGAGGCTGCAAGAAAATCCCTGTGTCCGGCTCTTCCTGCTGCCCCATGGTAAAGAGAGAAAAACAACCGCCCCTCGGATGATCAATGAGGCCAGGCTTCGGGGCATAAACATTCATTTAGATGCTACATCTGATGTCATCTAGCAAAAGGTGAGGGAGAAAATGAAATCTCACTTTCCCCTGGAAAGCCCAGAATCAGTCACCACGTCAGAATCAACAGGCTCAGCCTGCCCTGTGGGCCCTGGGCCCTCCCCAGACCCCCTTCCCCTCCTGGCAGCCCTGTGTCTGTTCCTGGGACCACCTTCTGCCCATCCGAGTGCCTCAGGCGTAGGCCACAGGAGACTCCCACTCCCACCTGACGGCTCAGGACTCGCCTCACTCCACTCTCTCCGCCTTTCTACAGTATAAGCCTGACGGGCCCTTCCAAATTTTACCCCCAGGACCCCAAAGTTCACATAGCCTACCGTCCCTGCCACAGCAACAGCCCTGCTCCGTGCCACTCCTCAGCCTGAAGGTCAAAGCCGTCCTTAGTGCAGTCTGGGAAGGCCGGCCATCATTTGGGGCCACAGCTTAACCTCTCCAGCTCACTCCCCCTATTTCATCACACTGTGCTGATTACCACGCCCAGATTCTCCCATGATCCTTTTGGCCTCCACAACTCTATTCAAACAGGTCCCTCTATCAAACCCCATTCCCAGGCCTCCCCCTGCTCTGATCCTACCCAACTCTGAAGGTTCAACTTACAGCTTTCTTTCTCCATGACACCTCAGAGTAAATCTCCAGTAGCCACTGTGGATCGATTCCAACTTCATTAATTAATTTTACAATGAGTAATCCAGGTCTGTTGACTCTCCAGCGTCACACATGCCTACAGTGGGGCAATTCCTGGGAGAAGTTGTGTCCTTACACTCCGTCGTCCGCCCTCTCCTTCCTCCTCTCGGTCCCCTTGGTCCCAGCCCCGCCCTCCTCGCCTGCTCACCTCCCCCTTCTCTCTCCACAGAGATCAACGGGACCCAGATTTGCCCTCACAACCTGGTCACCTTCCAGGACTTCTCGGATCTGGAAAACGTCCCTCACCTCCGCTACCTGAGGCTGGACGGCAACTACCTGAAGCCGCCCATCCCGCTGGACCTCATGATGTGCTTCCGCCTGCTGCAGTCCGTGGTCATCTAGGCCTGGCTCCGCCCTGCGTCCCCTCCGATCGCCGCTGAAGGCTGGTGGCCCGGGCGCTGGGCCCGCTGCTCGTGTTCTCTGCCTCCCTGGCTTTCTCCAGCTTTGCCTTCCTCAGCCCGCCTTCCTGAGGCGGGACCAGCCACAGCCTCAGGACCGAGACCTCCCAGGCCTTGGTTGGGGGGAGGGGATCCACCCAGCCCAGAGACATCTCCTGCATGCTTACCCTCTGGCCCAGAGCACAGGTGTCTGTTTCCAGATCTCATAGTCCCGCTCTCCCAGCCTCCCCGCCACTCCTGGGTAAGTCTGGGCCTGGACTGACATCAGGATCTCGGCCCTGGGGAAGCACGAAAATGGTCAGGAGTTGCCCCGAGGGAGGCTCAGGCAGCCCTGCAGGGACTCCTCCTGTATGGGCAGCTCTGGCCCCCAAGGACCAGAGCACCAGGTCCCTTTGGCCAGGGCTCCATCTTGCAAAGTGCTGCTCCACTGCCTGCCCGCTGGCACCAGACATGGTGCTGGCTCACCACCCCGTGTTCTCCAAAATGGAAGTACAGGGCATGGCCGTGGGCGGGCAGCGGGTGGGGTTCCCGCAGGGGCCTGCACCTGGCCTACTCTCCATGGGGAGGAGCTGGACCCTGTTTCTCCTGGGTGCAGCAGCTCACACCCTCCTAACCCTCATTCCCAGAGGAAGATCGGGGAGGACCAGTCCAGGAGAAGAGGGGCTTGGGAACCAGGAGGCAGCCAGGGGGAGAGGAGTGGGAGTCAGGGCCCAGGGATGGGCCCATGAGGGTCCAAGGGGGTCCCACAGCCCCCTTGGCCGCTCTGAACAGGAGGCCTAATGCCTGGGGATCACCGTGTCCCAGTGGAGGGCGCAGAGCCACCACCGCCCTGCCATCTGTTCTCTGTCAGTGGGGACAACCCGGTCCTTTCCACCCCAGAGAGGTTCCTGAGAAACCCGAGAGAAGGGGAGGGAGCACCCAAAATCTTCCAGAAGCTTCTTCCACGTGTACACATTGGCCTCCCCCTAAGGCAGACTCATCAGTGACACCTGGTGGCTGGTGCCGGACACAGAGGGCCCCTCTTCTTCTCCGCCCTGGGGGTGATTTTCCAAGGTCAAGGGCTCCCAACTTGAAGAGCCAGGTTCAACCATGTGCATGGTCTCTCTCTCCTCTGGGTCTAAAGGGCACAGAGCAACAGTGGCTCTGCGTTGGGAAGAAGATCGGGGTGGAGGGCTTGTTCCTTCATGGGGGAGTAATGGTGGGAATCTCGGGGGCCCAGGGAAGGATGCAGCCTGCTCCCCGGTGCTGTCTGACCTTGCCATGACTTCTGCTCTCAGCTCCCACCGACTACACACCCTGCCAAATCTCCTCTGGCACTCACGTTCCATTCTGAGGCTCCATGTTGGACCTCGCTCTAATGCAAGCCAAGTCCTCCATGTCCTCTCCCGCCCTTGCAGTTATTTATTCTCTGTATGGACTGTCCCTCCCCCGAAGTTCCCACCCTCCCCGCCTGGCCCAGGTGCAGCTGGGCAGGCCTCAAGAGGGCCTGGGCCCCATGGCTAACTCTCCTAGGCCTTCCTCTGACCTGCCTCTAGGGGGTGCTGCCCCTTCACAGTCCCCCAGGGTGTACGCTGGTGGGTGGCATGGATGTTCTAGAAATGAGTGGTACCCAGTGCCTCCCCTCAAGACAGGTCTAGAAAAGGTCCGAGATTTTAAATTGTATTAAGCTAGACCCCTAACATCAAGAAGCTCCCATTAGACTCTTTCTCATTGTTCACTTTGCCAACTTACAGAAATGGAGCACACTTTATCCCAGCCTCCTTCACCTGCTCCCATAAGGGCCTTATTTTCCACAGCTGCTCATTTCTCCGAGGCTCCTGCTTAGAGTCAGGGCCGCCCCGGGGCTGTAAGCAGCCTGGTGCTCCGGCCTGGATCAGCCGCCTCCTCCCCTTAGTCACACCTTTAGCCTCAGCCCCTCTCAGGAGGCCCTCGGGGAGCACAGCCCTCGGAGGGAGCCATCCCCTCTCCTGCAAACCCAGCAGCAGCTCAATCACCATCATCCCTTCCCTCCATCGCTCCCTGCGGCCGAAAGCCAGAGAGGATTCAAGTTAAACTGACTTTACAGCAACTGCCTCTCCCCTTCTGTCCTCCCACTGCCCCCACACACTCTGTGCTGGTTTCCCGTGGGTTTCAGAAGCCCCCCTTTCCACCCCCGCCCCCCTGCAGCACATACAGGGTGGGCCCCGTGCTGCTGCCTCCGCACTCCCAGCTGTGCAGGTGGGTGTCTGATGTACTCTGTCCTTAAGGCTGTCCTCCTGGGAGCCGATAACTCTGTGAACCAGCTCCCACACTCCAGCGCGCTTCACAGCAGAGGAAATAAAGGAATATGAGAGCATCCTGCTTGGACTGGGCCATGTGAACAGGTGGGGAACAGTCCCCCGAGGTCCCTCTGCCGCCCCCTTCCTCCTGCAGCCCCCTCTCCCGTGCTCTGAGAAGATGGGTGAGGAAGGGTCTTAGTCTTAAGAAACAATTCCAAAGCCATTCGTTCCTTGGTGACTTTCCCCCAAAACTTACAGTTCTCGTGAAAAATCATTCCTAAAGTCTGACCAGAAATCTGACAGCTGCATTTGAAGCCCAAAGGTCAGGGCTTTCAACCCATAGACACCAAATCGTTGAGAGTCTCCCAAAAGCTCAGCTCCGAGCCAAATACAGGGGACATAAAGCAGACCCACTCCTGGCCAGGCGAGGCTGCAGACCGGTCAGGATGCCGTGTAAAACCCACAGCAGAGGCGGAGCCACCTCAGGCCAGAACCCAGGGCCACCTCGTCTAGGGGGAGTGACAGGCTGTGCAAGATGTTCCTAAGCCTCCCTTCAGATAGAAGGTTCTAGAAGTAGGCTTGTGATCCTCCCAACCTACATCATATATATATATATATATATATATATATATATATATATATATATATATATATATATATATATATATATATATTGATTTCAGAGATGAAGAAAGAGGGAGAGGGAGAGATAGAAACATCCATGATGAGAGAGAATCATGGATCGGCTGCCTCCTACAAGTCCCCCACTGGGAATCGAGCCCACAATCCAGGCATGTGCCCTTGACCGAAATCGAACCTGGGACCTTTCAGTTCGCAGGCCAGCGCTCTATCCACTGAGCCAAACCGGCTAGGGCAGCAACCTACATCTTTAGGATGCTGCTCCCACCTGCCTCTAACACCTGCCTCAGTTCAACCCAGCAAGTTGTCTGTGGGCACCAACTGCGTGCCAGGTTCCCAGCGCAGAATCCAAGGGCAGGGAATATCTGTCCCGTGCCCAGGAGCGATGCACAGCGGGATAAAGGGGAAACCCGCTCATTAATAACTGCGTGCCTTACGTGCTAGAATAAGGCCGAGTACAGAGCCCAGGAGGGCTCCTCTCGCGGGAGCTGTATCTTAAGAGCTGAACAGGACTGTGAAGTGGGATGAGGGGGGGAAAGGACATAGGAGGAGGGGAAAGGTGGGAAGGCTTGGCATGTAGCCTGTGGGGTATGTGTGTGTGTGTGTGTGTGTGTGTGTGTGTGTGTGTGTGTGAGAGAGAGTGTGTGTGTGTGTGTGTGAGAGAGAGAGAGAGAGAGAGAGAGAGAGGCCGTTCAACAAGCAGGAGAGCTCCTGAAATCTCACCCCCTCTCCCTCCCTGCCCACGAAAGGGGCAGCTGGCCAGACTTGTATCCCCAACGCCTGCCACATCCGCCCCATCAGCATCAGACTTGGATCCCCAACGCCTGCCACATCCGCCCCATCAGCATCAGCATGCCTTTGCTTCCCCTGGTGAGGGGCTCAGACATAATAGAAGGGCTCCGGGCCCCTCCCACATCTCTTCCTGGGCTCTGGGGAGCTGAGCATCCAATGGTCCCCACACAGGCCACACCCCACATCCCAGGGCCGCCCTGAAATGTGTGGAACCAGCGTGAGAATAGGACGTGATTGTGGTTGGGGGCGGGGAGGTGGTGTTGGGGAGCCTGAGCATGCAGGTGAGCCTGGCTGTGCCCAGGGGAGGGCCGACTGCAGGGCAGAGGGCATGGCCACAGAGCAGGGAGTGTGTGCCACGGAGAGGGGTGGAGGAGGGGGAGCAGGAGGCAGGCAGAGTGACTGAGCACGCTCAGCTGCACCCCTCTCAGGGAATAAATGGCGCAGGTGCGGGGAGGTAGCCCTGGCTGCAGAGAGAAACAGAGGACAGCAGCGAATGTGCCATCTGCTTCTGGGGCACCGTCCTGGCTCCAGGGCCTCCTCTCCCTGCACCCAGCCGAGCCCCTTTGGGTGGTTCTCCGGGCGAGGGGCTGGTGGCCAGGGCACAGGAATATGCCTGGCCCTGGTGACCAGGTCCTTGGACGGGGGCCAGCGTCTCCACAACAGCTGGCGGCCGGCAGCCTGAAGGCCGCGCACTGCCCTCCGGGCCAGGCGCTCAGCTCTGCCCCTTCACCCGGTGTGCCCGGCAGAGAGGAGCTCTGCCAAGGCCATCTGCGATGAGGGCACCAGCACACCTGGTCTCGGGACTTCCGGGGACAAGGGGAGGAGGGAGGGTCATAGGAGCAAAGGGGAACTCTGTGTGGCTGGAGTCAGGAAATGGAGCACTTGCCCGGGCTCTGTGTGGCCTTGGGCAAGTCACCTCCCGCCCTGGGTCTTGCTTCCCCACCTGTACAACGAGGGGCTCAGACTAGATGTTCCTACGGGGCCTGCAGCTGGGGCCCAGCGCGTGCTCAGGGAAGAGCATTACCAAACAGCCCGGGCAGCTCTCAGGCTGGCAGGGTCCTGGGAGACACATCGCCCACCCACCTTCACCGAGGACTGCCCAGCAGAGCCTGGGCACCAGGCTAAAGAGGGTCCCTCCCCATCATTCTATCCTGGGGCGATTCTTCTCAGTGCCCTGAGGACCCCCACAATGCCGCCTGGTGTTTGTGATCAGGAGTCTCCCCTGGGGCCCAACCTCAGCAGATCCAGAGAACGTCCCATACGGTTCTCGCCATCATCTCCAGAGAACTTGACGTTGGCTTCCAAATCCTACCCCATCCTCATCCCCACTCTACCCTTTGACTTGCCGGCCCTCAGACCCATCTGGTGATTTTTGTGGTTAGGGGTCCCACGTTGGGGTTCCAGGTGGTGGTGGTGGGGGGTGGGGGTCAGGGTGCCTCAGCTCTCAGGCCCCTTTTCATGTTTGGGTTTCACCTATAAAGTCAGAACATGGTCACCCTCCGGATGGAGACTCATGCTGGAAGGCAAGCCCCCCTCTCACCCCCCCCCTGGCCCTCCACACCCCACTGCTGTCTTCTCCGAGAACAGTGCAGGGTCTGAGGGGTGGGGTCCCCCAGGACGTGGGAGCTGCCTACCCTCTCAGAGAGGGTGGGCAAGAGAGACAGCAGACGGAGAAAGAGAGGAAGGGATGAGAGTGGGAAGTGGGAAGCGGGAAGTGGTCCCTGCAGTCTGCGAGCTCTTCACTTGCAGCAAATTTGTTAGGACTTCCCTTAGCAATAAGACATCTCTCCCTCCGGCGGTCAGGTAACACCATAAGCCAACCTCACTGGGATGTCGCGACGCCTTCCTGAGCTCCCTACAAAAGAGAGGCCGCGGTCTCCAGTCTAAAGCTCTTTCCCAGCCGCTCCGGCCTTCCCAGGGGCTGACGGGGCATCCGTCAGGGCTTGGCCAGGGCAGCTCAGGGGAGAGCGCCAGCTGGGAATCTGGAGCTTGGCCACCAGCTGCTCCTTCATCCCAGTCCCTCCCATCTCTGGCCTCAGTTTCCCTATCCTGCCGATGAAGCTGTGGGACCAGGCGCTCTCTGAGAAGGCCCCTTTCTTGCTCGCTCCTTCTGCACCCCTCCAGCCCTCTCCACAGTGACTCTCTGCAGTCACTGACGCTCCCAAAGTTCAGGCAAAAGCTGACAAACTGTGTGCGGTGGGCTGTCTCCAGTTTAAAGGGACCCGTCTGGCTCCTCCAAACAGGACCAGCCTCCCGCAGAGCACGGTGGCTGCACGGACACCCTCTTGTACCCCAGGAGGACCAGGCCCACACCCCTGGGCCTGCCGCTCCCCCCACCAGCCTCGAGGTTTCCACAGGCAGCCGAGGCCCATCTCCAGGGGAGCGGAGTGGAGAGCAGTAAGGGCTAGCCGGTGGAGGGTGAGGAAGAAGAGAAAGAGCCACCGTAAGAACAGAATAAAAAATTTTAAAAAATCAAAGAGAGAGCTGGCTGTCCCTAAAGATTCTGCCCGAAACACACACACACACACACACACACACACACACACACACACACACACGAACTGGAGAGGAAGCCGGGGAACTCGCAGAGCCACCACCTTAATTAGCAGCATCGAGGGGGGAGCCGGGAGGCTGAGCGGTAATTAGATTAGAGACAATTAAAGGCCAGAGGAGAAGAATGAATAACTGTGGCCGTCACCTGGCAGGGGTCACACGAAGCAGTCATACAAGCCTTTCAGCGCGGTATTCCCTCCTGCGCAGCCCCCTCCTGTCCCCGGTGCCCTCCTGGGGCCGGGATGCTGGTGGGCCTGGCAGCAAGGGGCTGGCCGGCTCCTGGGGTCAGAACTGAGGGAGGGGGGAAGCAGTCAGTCAGTTCCTGGCCTTGTCTTGGGATGTTGGCCTTGGGCAGATCTAGGGTATTGGGGCCTCAGCAGAGAGAACGCTTCAGCCAGGAACCCACGGCCCTGCAGTTACAGAATCCCGGCCTCAAAGGGACCACACGGGCGTCCGCTGGGCCTGCCACGTAAGGCCTTGGGATAGGCAGGGCCCCGGGCCTGTGGGTTCCTGCTGTACTGTCCCTTGGCTGCTGGCGGGAAGACCTGCTGCTCAGTCTTGGGCGGTGTCGCTGCTGACGATGGGCCCTGGAGCTGGACACCAACAGGGTATCTCGCCATCTCTGTCCCGAGTGGCAATCGCAGGTGATGGAAACCAGGCCTGTTCAGGTGCACGGCCAGGGACGCCGCCCACGTTTCCTAGGCCGGTCTGAGCTCGCCAGCCTGGCCTAACGCTCATGTCCATGGCCGTGGACAGAGGTCAGCGGAGGGTTCTCTCCCAATGGGAAACTGGGAAGCTGGCGCCGTGAGAAAGGGAAACACATTCTGGGCAGGCGTCGTCCGCTCCGCCTGGGCTCTGTTATGCTTCTGGGAGCCGCACAGGACGAGTCCAACTCCTCACCCACATTGGCCCTTCCCCTTACTGCTGGCTTCATTTCATCTTCGTTGTACCTGTGGGACCAGAGAGGAGCCGATGGGAAAGAGACTGATACATGAACTACAAACACCCCCAAGGCCCAGGAAAGCCTACGTGGAACCGGGGTCTGAGGAGGACACGATGGGCGTGGGCTGGGCTGTGCCTGAGGGTGGATCTG